CTACTAATTTAGCTTCAACATTAACCAACTAGTCAGTGTTAGCATCAGAACCAGATGTCGCTTGAACCTCAACCATAACGGACGGACGGACGAACAGACCGACGTTCTCTCGGCCTCTTTAGACCGATAACGTCCTCCGTCCTCCGTCCTCCGTCCTCCGTCCTCGTCGTCTCTGTTCAGTCTCGTATTTCTGTCATAATTCCACATCTTATCGTTGGTTTGTTCGTTACCAACTGTCCTGTTGGTAAACACACACGTGTGTTGATGATTCTGGTCAGACTGTACGGAGGGAGAGGTCTACACTGAACCAACGTTCAGCTGTTTGAGTTTGAGTTTCACAGAGAACTCACTGATGATTAAAAAGAAAGAAAGAAAAAAAAAACCCAGCGTCATTCAAACGTCAAAGGCCTTTTTTCCCCTGAGCTCGCGGTAGTTTCTAAACCCTGATACAGAGCAAAATAAGTTCATTAACAAACAGACTAAACACACACACACAAACACACACACGTCTAGGACAGTTGTTGTGTTCATGGAGTGAGATGAAAAATCCTTTATGTCTAAAAATGTTCACAGGAGACAAAGAGACAAACATTTTAAAAAAAAGATCATATTTAATTATAGAAATCAATAACCTGAACAGCCAGACTGCTGAGATGGCAATAATAATAATGATTATTATATTGTAATAATTACAACCATCATCATGATATCATATACACATTATAAATCAATAGTGCCTTAAGATTCTTTTCTGTTTCGATTTCTTTTCATCAGAAACGGTTGGGACAAAGTTGACCATCAACACTGATGTGATCCACGCTGGGGGGGTTTTTCTGCGCAATTCTTACAACAAACGAAGTCAGGTCCTAAATGCAGAAGGAGCTGAAGAGCAGCTGCTGATCCTGGTCCTCAGGACTCATCGTTTTAAGGGAGTGAAGAAAAAAAAAGAAAAGAAAAAAAAAACGCGTCCAGGCTCAGAAATAATTGCATTTCGGGGCAGGGATGTCCTCCTGATCTATGGCCAGGAAACCCCTCAGCAATTCAGTGCGGGTGTAGGAGGAGACTCCTGCAGCAGCAGCAGCAGCAGCAGCAGCATCAGCAGCACAGACCCAGGATCAAATGTCCAGAGGACAAACACTTCTACAACAGCCACAAAACGGCGCTTGTACGCATTACGGCCGGCGCGCGCACACACACACAGGCGCGCACGTGCGCACACACACACTCACACTCACACTCACACTCACAGTATGCACAAAGCATCACCAACAGTAAACAGGCTGACCTGCTGTAGATACATGAAGGTGAGGGCAGCGCAGGACAGCTGCGGACAGGCGTCCACGTTCGGCAGCGCGACGCACGTTCCTCCAGGATGCTGCATGTTCCCGCTCCGCTGCTGACAGCACACACTGACGGGGGAGGCGGGGGGAGAAAATTCCTTTATCACAGAACACACTGGACTCCACCGTGGTGAGCGAGGGAGGAGAGAGTGGGAGGGGAGAGAGAGAGAGGGAGAGAGAGAGAGAGAGAGAGAGAGGGAGGGAAGGGAGGGGGTGGAAGAGAGAGAGAGGGGGGAGAGAAAGAGAGAATGGGATGAGATGAAGAAAGCGAAGGGAGGATAACGGGAGGGGGAGAGGGAGGGGGGAGGTGGGCCAAAAAAAAGAGAGAGAGAGGGGGGGCAGGAAAAAGAAAAGAGAGAGAGGAGAGAGATGGGGGAGAGGGATAGAGGAGAGGCAGAGGGGAGAAGACATTGAATGGGAGAGAGAGAGAGGGAGAGAGAGGGAGGGAGGGAGGGGGAGAGAAAGAGAGAATGGGATGAGATGAAGAAAGAGAAGGGAGGATAACGGGAGGGGGAGAGGGAGGAGGTGGGCCAAAAAAAGAGAGAGAGAATAAGAGAGAGAGAGGGGGGGCAGGAAAAAGAAAAGAGAGAGAGGAGAGAGATGGGGGAGACGGATAGAGGAGAGGCAGAGGGGAGAAGACAGTGAATGGGAGAGAGAGAGAGAGAGAGACGTAGGGAGAGAGAGAGAGAGAGAGACGTAGGGAGAGAGAGAGAGAGAGAGACGTAGGGAGAGAGAGAGAGAGAGAGAGAGACGTAGGGAGAGAGAGAGAGAGGTCTGTCGTCACTTCTTTCTCTTTCTTGTTATTGTCAGTGTTTGCATTAACACGTGTACCTCATACACCAGTACTGTACTGTACTGTACTGTACTGCACTGTACTGTACTGTACTGTACTGTACTGTACTGTACTGTACCGTACATGTACGGACGTCACATGACCGGATCTGAATTCTCACTCTGACGGGGATTTTTTTTTGAGATTAGTGCTGAAGTAGTGGAAGAACTAATGGCTACACACACACACACACACACCATCTCTCTCTCTCTCACACACACACACACACAGAGACCAAATGTCCCCCGTGTGTCCTCCTCCTGCTGCAGCTGCTCCTAAATATTACCTCATTATCTTCTCTGTGTTAAAGCCGACTGTTCACCTCACTCACACACACACACACACACACACACCTGCAGTTGTCCCACAGCTCTGGGACCGTCTCTCGTCCACAGCAGAGACGGTGAAGCAGAAAAGATCATTAGGAAAATTTACAAAAACAAAAAAAAAACTGCACAAAAGTTTAGAGACACATCAGTGACGAGAAACAGGAGTTTGTTCAAGCGATGAGGGCCAAGAAGTAGTAGTACTACTACAAGTAGTAGTACTACTACTAGTAGTAGTACTACTAGTAGTAGTTAGTACTGCTGCTAAAGTAAAAAAAAAAAAACTATAGTAGTACTGCAGCGGTAAGAGTCTAAAAAGTACACATCTGTACTGCATGTGTAGTACTGTAGGTCGTACTGATGTAAGGGAACAGGACTGGTGTCAGAGGTTGCTCAAACGCCGGGTCCCGGACCAGGACAAGGCACAGTGATGTCATCAACCTGACAAGAAAAGTATGTTTTATATATAGTTTTGACTTTTTGAGGTTTTTTTTTTTTTTTTTTTTTTTATTTTGGGGGGGGGTT